ATGATTATTAAAAATGCATTACTTAGAACTGTTTGTATGCTTGTATAAAAAAATACAACATCGCTGGAAGATAACTTATTTTCTTTGGTAGAGTGTACATCAAATTATTAGCAGAATATAAGTTTATTTTAGCCCTGGTTCACACCAAATGTGGCTTTGAAATCACAATACTTCAGCTGAAGCAAAGCAATTTCAAAGTAGGGCAGCACAGTGGCTAAATGGTTAGCACTTCTGCCTGGCAGTACTAGGGTCATTGGTTCAAATCCCAACCATGGTACCACCTGCCTGGAGTTTGCATGTTTTCCCTGTGCCTGCTTGGGCTTCTTCTGGCTACTCCAGTTTCCTGCCACACTCCAAAGACATGCTGGTAGGTGAATTGGATCCTGTCTGAATTGGCCCTAGTATGTGCATGTATGAATGGGAGTTAGGGACCTTAGATTGTACACCCCTTGAGGGTTGAGGACTGATATGAATGTATAATATATATATGTAAAGTGCTGTGTAAATTGACAGTGCTATATACCATAAGTACCTGTAATAAATAAATAATAAAGCTGCCAGTCAGTGCAATTTCATGAGCAGCTTGCTGACATCTGTGCAACCTCATGCACAGATTTCATAGCAAGTTGCACATGAAATCACCAAAAATAGTGCAGGAGCCTTTTTTTTAAAAAAGGGGGAAAACGAAGTTGCACCATTTTGGATGGTTTCACAAATAGGGTGCGATTTTAACTCACATGACAAATTGCATTAGTTTGAACAGGGGCTAAATAGTAAATGGTTTCAGCTGGGAGCCGCTTTACCTGCAAAATGCTACTACCTTTTGTCCATTGAGTCTTGGGATATCCTTAGCTCATAATTACACGTAACCAAGCTGGCCCAGTGTAAAAATAAATTATTCTTTTAGTTCATCTTTAAAAAGAGAGTAAGGAGTGGAGTATTATGTACCTTATGGTGTGGATAATGTTGGAGGGCTTGCACATATGACTGCGTGCATGTACATACTGTATACTGTATAATTACAAAACTGTACATTGAATGTTTTTTAAACAGTAACATACATTGATGAGATTATTTATATCAAGATGATAAAGTATACAAGTATATCTAAAAAAAACTGAAAAGACTATGGAGTTTATTTACAAAAACGTTTCATAGCTGGTCCTAAAAGAGCATATAAATTCAATGAGTATATAGAGTAAAACTGTATCCTTGGCAGATTAAAAAACCCATTGTGGTCACTAGATGGTACTGAATATCATAGGAAATAAGTATGCTCATTGGCTCCATCTGTAGCCATAATGAAGTGCAGTATTGTTCCCATTCACACATCTGAAAAGAATATAACTTGGGAATATTTTGATTTTCCTTATCCACACTAATTTACACACAGTTTTGATGGATAAATGGTAATGCATTTTTTTTTATTTAAATACACATGTATTTATTTCTATACACCAGTTAAAAGATGGTGTTGCAATACATGATGATAATACTTATATCAGTGCTAAGGGAAAAAAGGCCTTTTAAAAAAGTTAGTCATCTGGCTGTCACATTGATCCAAGGCATTAAAGTCTCCTGAGTCTTTATCATAGAACTAGCAAGCTGTTCAGGATTTCTGACTTCACTATGTGCAATATTGTCCTAGGTAACTAAACCCAGACTCAGTTAAACAGCTAACATTCAGAAGAAGGTCAGTATTGGCAGTCCATGTTTCTCTCAGTAGAGGTTTCCTTCAAGGTGATCTCTGGTCAATCTCATGTCAACAGTTAGGTAATTACAGTAGACAAAATCTCTGATGTTCAATATGCACTGGTATTACAAAAATACAAATTGCCCACTTCCCGTGTAGGTAACAGCACTGCACTAATATACACATCAAATAATAATATATAATATATACAGCACTGCAATAATATACACATAATATAACAGCACATAATATAACAGCACTACAATAATATACACATCAAATTGATAACAATTCAAAAAATATAAAATAATATAAGATAATATAATAGAATAGTCCACTTATAAGTGTCCATGCTTTGTGAAAATTCCAATATAAAGTGCTCCAAAGCTGTGCTTTAAGATAATGATCTTCCTGGAGAAAACAGACCACATGGATTTCACACCTCACTCACTGCACATTTTTGACCCCTTGTGTTAGCAAGTGAGTCATTATAGCATGTCACACAGGTCCTGGCTTATGCAGCTCAAGCTTCCCAATTAATCTTCCCCCAGCTCCCCATTATAGGTAAACCATCAGCCCTAGTTGTGGTTCACCTCTTATCCACCATATGAGTACAGAAGAGAAAGGTATCTCGTATAGTGAAAAGTATTGTTTATTGTGGCCTAAAAAAGACTGTATTGCACTTACACTTCTAAAAAATGACAATTGACTATAGAAATAGAAGTGCCCTTCCCAAAGATGGCCACCGCTTCTGGTAACCAGATATGACTTCAGCTGGAAGTACCTCCCTACACTTTTTATCATCAAAAGTCAACATCCTCAGGAGCTAGCTTTTGATGAAGAAATGCGTAGGGTGGTACTTCTGGCTGGCTACATATCCGGTTACCAGAGGCATGAGTAGGCATTATAAGTGGACTATTATATTATATGATATTATGTTTTTTGAATGGTTGAATGGTTAGACATTTGATGTGTATATTATGAGGTATTTAGGAAGCACTGTTGGGGAAATTGGGGAAATTTGTATTTGGTGTAGCTGAGGTTTAACGCCTACAACAGCTGCTATTTCTTTTCGTTTTTTGGTTTCTTTTCATTTTTTTCAGAGTAATAGCAGGGGTATTTCTATATAATTTATATTACAAAAATAAAATCATGTTATTTGCAACAACAAAAAAAAGATAAATAAATTAAGGGTGTTCTCCACTCTTTTGTTAACTTCTAAAAAAAAGTTGTGATGTCCCCTGTGAAGGGAGAACATAGATACCAACTCAGATCTGTCAGGACCTCTAGCACAACTGCTCCCAGCGATCAGTCCATCTCTTCAACATTGATCCCAAAGCCAGGCCCAGTGTATTTTGGGATGGAAAAAAATATAATGAATTGTAGAAAAATAAATGCAAACATGTTTGTAGATTGTTTGGAAATAAGATGGAAAGATTTGTAAATTAAATATCCCAAATATTCATTACCAAGTAAACCTAATAACACAGTAATGGCACAACCTTTGTATTCCAATAGAATTGTTAGAGTAGAGATATTTCTATGAGGAAAGAAATAGGTGATATTTCCATCTGTACAAAACATGGCATTCTTCTTAAAGAAAAAATACAAATAGTAAAGGCTTATGCGCTGCTATACCACAAATGCAACAAAGGAAGGAGGAGATTACTGCACTCACTGATCTAGTGTACTCACACTCAAATTAAATAATTAAACAGAAATGTGATGTGCTACCTCCTCAAATTTTGAAAACATAAGCTCTAAAAGAAACATGCAGTGTCAGTCCAAAAAAATATGAAATGTGAAATAATATCAGTCTAATCCAATATATGTTGTGCTATCATCCAGCAATATTCAATGCCGTGCTTGAATTGTGGCCCCACTCCCTGTTCACCTTAAATTTTGTCCTATAAATTATAATAGGCCAAACACGCTTTTAGAAGGACTATGTAGCCTCCAAATTTCTGATCCACATAGTGTTCCTTCCACGTGCTATATCTTCATTGGACCTTTGACTCCAAAACCTTGCAAAATAAACAAAAAAATACTCATAGAGGAAACTGTGACTATGATCCATTACACTGCAAGTTGGTTTAAGTAGGGTAAACATGAATTGAGAATCGGCCAGTTCAGCAGGGACCAGACAAATTCTGCTAAGTGTGTAGCCCTCTCAGTTCAAGTTAGATATATAGATCGGCTTCTGTCGCATTGTCCTGCTGGAAAAACTGCTTCAATCAGTGGCTTGCAGCCAATTGAGTAGTAAGGTAATTGGTGCACATTGTTCTATATAAACTTAATTTTTGCCTGGATTTGGGCTTTAACTGCCTCCCGCCAACCATATAGTAAAATGATGGACGTAAGGCGGTTCTCTCATTCTGGGAGGACTTCATATGATGTCCTCCCATTCTCACCGCGCATGCGCAGCTCTGGGAGTGCGCAGCGCGGCGATCATTGTGCGCTGTGTCCTTCGGACACAACGGAACACTGATCCACAGAAAAAGCTGAAGATGTCAGCTCGGTCGTGATCAGCTGTGTCCAATCACAGCTGATCACATGTAAACAGGGAAATGCCGGTTATCGCCATTTCTCTCCTGACAAGCTGTCACGCTGACAGCTCGAAAGGAGAGGAGAGCCGGTAATCGGCATTCCTCAGAGGGGAAATCTACACTGATCATCAGAGCACTGATGATTAGTGTGCCCTGATGATCAGTGTAGTCCCAGCAGTGCCAACTGTCAGTGTCCATCAGTGCCATGTGTCAGTGCTCATCCATGCCACCTGCCAGTGCCCATCAGTAACACATCAGTGCCACATTTCAGTGCCTACCAGTGCACATCAATGCCACATATCAGTGCCCATCTGAGCTGCCTTTCAGTGTCCCCCCATCAGTGCCAGTCAGTCCCACCTATCAATGCCAGTCAATGCCACCTATCAGTGCTGCCAATCAGTGCCACCTATCAGTGCCAGTCAGTGCCCCCTATCAGTGCCCGTCAGTGCTGCCTATCAGTGCCGCCTAACAGTTCCAGTCAGTGCCACCTAACAGTGCCAGTCAGTGCCGCCTATCAGTGCCAGTCAGTATCAGTGCTGCCTATCAGTGCCATATATGAGAGGTAATTTTTCTCCCTCACTGATGTACATTGATAAGGCTGCACTGATAGGCAGCACTGATGGGTACTGATAGGCAGCACTGATGGGCACTGATGAGGTGGCTCTGATGGGCACTGATAGGCTGCACTGATGAGGCGGCACTGGTGGGCATTGATGAGGAGGCACTGATGATGCTGCACTGATATGCGTCACTGATGGGCACTGATATGCGGCAATGATGGGCACTGATAGGTGGCACTGATGGGCACTAATAGATAGCACTGAAGATCACTGACTGGTGGCACTGACTGGTGGCACTGATAGGTGGTACTGACAGGCACAGGTTGGCAGCACTGCTAGGCAGCACTGTGGGGAACTGATGGGCAGCACTGTTGGGCACTGCAGGGCACTGATGGGCAGCACTGTTGGGCACTTTTGGGGCTGCACTGTTGGGCACTTTTGGGGCTGCACTGATAATCAGTGCCCTGATTATCAGTGCAGATGTCTGCTTTGACAGTTGCCAGTTACCGGCAGTACTTTCCTTATGCTGTCACAGATATGGGTATGGGTAGAAAGCTGGAGAACCAATGTGCAGAAGCCTGACATCACATCTGAGATCTGCTGATTGAGGGTGCAATGCTTTGCAGTTTCCTGTAGATAAAAAAAATAAATGGACATTTTTTCTGCAAAAATATGTGCATTTATTATTTTTTTTCTTAAAGGTGAACTTATTGTTTAAGAGACACTGAGATGGACATAAGCAGCCCATACTTGCTTAATTTTTTTTTGCTCAACCAACAAGTTGAATGAAAATAAATGACCCAATGCTCCTGTCCACGCATTTGACATGAATGAGGGAACACTCCCCTCTGAGTTATTCTATTCAGACAGCAGGGAGACTTCCCCACCATCAGAATACACTGATCAGCACTGACGGTGGCACTGATCGTTCATGAAAAACCTGGGAGGCTGGTTGTACAGAAGTTGATCAGGCCGAATTTCAATCCATGTATGGTCAGCTTTACTAAGGTGTGAATTGGGGGAAAGTGCAGTGAATCAAGGGGAATTAACACAAAAATCTTCTCATGTCCAGGGAATCTAATACAATGAGCTATAACAAGAGCTTATCTTCTCCATGGCAGGATGTTTGAAGAGAACACAGGTTCATTGCACTTTATCTAATTTCAAACTTTAGTAAATCAGGTCTTTTCTGTATCTTTTCTTGCCAGTTGGCTGTGCATTGTGTTAGTGGTTTCCTAAAATTTGCAGAATAGTTGGCAGTGATGTTGTAAATTTCAACATTTAGAGTTACTGTCTATAGACTCTGCACCTGGTTGAACAGTTTTTATAGGACAAACACATTCTATCACATATTTCATACATTTCCCAATATATATTCAATCAGCTGGTATGAAAAGCTGGCTCTTGCAATAATCTAGTGTTAGGTATACATTATCAAAAGACTAAAAGTTTCAATATAAATTCCTAATGGCAGTGGCTCAAGCCTCTTATATGCTGGAAAATTTATTAAAATATACCTAAGGCCAACATTTCTTTTTTTGTTGGAAATAATAATGGAAATTGTTTAGTGCTGTTTGGTTCCCCATAAGGGAGATGCCACTCTCTAGTTGTCTTAGCAACCATTGTCATCAGGATAGAAAGTTATAAGAAATCCAAAATGTTATCGTTTCCACCAAAACAGTTGAACAGAAATGTTTAACTGGGGACACTTGTTCAGGTCATTGCTGTCTAAGGGAGCATTTCCCTTTACTTTGGAGAGATTTCCTCTACCTTTCTGTTTTGTCTCCAGGACATAAAGTAATGGGACAGAGACAACATGAAGAAACAGACAAAGATTCTAACCATTCCAAACTCTTCATACAAAAAAATGTCAAAGCTTTAGATATATAGCACCTGACAGAAAGCTTTTCCTAAAAGATACGCAGAGGTTGCCAACTAATACTTCTCATTCTGCAAATGCTAGTTGCCATGTCATGCTATCATTTGCAACATTAAACTTTTCTTCTGAATTCAGGGCTAACTCCACATTGTTAACATGTTACACCTGTAATTAGGGTATAGTATGTAACATGTTGCAAAGCAAACGTCCCCCCAAACCCAGAGTGGACTTGTAGTTCTCAATGGAAGACAAATGCAGTGATCACTGCACTCGTAATCCACTGACACTTCCTCTAGCTCTTACCTCTGTACAGCCACGGGACTGGGGGAAGAATCTTCATACGCCTGGCATTGCACCAGTGATCCACTAATTGTGTGTAGAATGCTTTGCAGGGTCCTGTGGAAAAAAAATTAACGTTTTTTTTTCTGCAAATGTGAACCTATCATTTAATTGTCCTGCATTTTTATATTATGATCATTTGTACCTTCACAAAAACAACAACCCTTCTTAGCACTAGTGCACGTGGATGTTTTGGATGCATTTCATATGTATCTGTCATGTATCTAATATGCATTTACCATGCATTACAAAGACTTGTATGGAGCAATTAAAGCAAACCACAACCATAAGCTGACCTTTATTGATTTCATTTGAGGATCAATAAAGGTATTCTGTGCATTTAGTGGATAGCTTTTAATTAAAAATTAAAAACTTAAAGAAGTTTTAGAAAATGTATACCTGTTCATGAAAAAGTTTAGACTAAATGATTTTTGATCTCCTAGTGATTTATAACACACTGGGATGAGTTAGTGCCCAATCAAACAATATTAGGCAGGACGCATATTAACTGGTTAAATGTGCTATCAATGGGAGGCAGAGGCAAGTGATATTTGAGCTGGCAGTTAAAAGAGGCAGAGAGGGAGCTGATCATAGAATACTGGGAGAAGCGAAAAAAGTGGGAGTGGGAAGAAAGAGGAGGTAGAATGGCAGTTAAACATGGATTTGGGACTTGTTACCTGGGTCATCGACTGGGAAGAGAATTAGGTTGTGCTCCTGGGGATATAGGGTCGAAGGAAGATTGGGTACTGCTGCCAAGACAAGGATGGAAAAGGATTAGCTAGTACTCGCCATGATAAGTATCAAGGGAGGATTGGAAAGGGCTTCTGGTGAAAGTGATCGAGAAAGAATTAGATACTGCTTCCAAGGACTTAGATCAAACAAAAGATTAGGCAATGTTGGTGGAGAAAAGAATAAAGCAAAGATTGGACTGTACTGGTGGGAAAAGTGATTGCTGGAGGATTACACATTGAAACTGGTAACAGGGATTTGTATGACTGTGAGGTACGTGTCTATGACTTTTTTTTAAATGTACTCATACATTTAAAAAAAAGTCACTTAAAATTGCAATTCTCCCTCAGGAGTTGTACGATCCTCCTGATCGTTATCTTTGGTGGGGTCTAAAGTTAGAGGTATAAGGTAGAAAAACTGACTTGGGATGTCTGCTGGTAGCAGAAAAGTATTGATCTCAAAGCGGTGGCACTATCCTCTCCTACTCCAAAATAAGATTTTAAATACAATTACAGTATATAGTTATCTATAATCCATATACATACACAAGATATAAAATGATCTACAAATTATACTATGAAAAATGCTCATAGACCTTTTTAGCTTGAATGTTTTCACATATTTACATTCACATGGTACACGAAGGGTCATGTATTATTCATTTTAAGTGCAATTTAAAATTTCCATATTTAACAATGTATTTCCCATTTATAGGCTTAAATTGCTTAATGGTGCAATTACATTTACCACATATCCATTACAATACCACAACGCCTGCCTGTATGTATTGGTGACCAATTGATGATCTGCATTTTGGTATTTCAGACTCCTAACATACATGTTACATATGTACTTTATACATAATTTTGAATTGTAGAAATCTATACTAAATTATTTACAGCATGACCTCCAAAAGCTGTGTTTTGAAGTGCATTCACTGCAACTAGAAGATATGGAAGAAAGGAGATGTAGCTCTAGGCAGCTAATTATATAATTGTTTTCATCTTCTAACTTTTAAATAAGAAGATGATGGATTATGATGGAATGGTAGAGTATTTACTGAAGGTTTTTGTTACAGAGACAGATAATGCAACAAAAATATAACATAACACAGTGTTCTAAGCTATCCTTTATCAACCAGGGTGTCATGATACCCTGTGGTGCCTTCTGGGTTCTTCAGGGATGCTTTCAAAGTGCCTAAAAATTTTCCCAAATTACCAAAACATTGTCAGCAAGCTGGGGGTAAGATTGAGCCTTCCTTTTTGTTACAAAAGTCCACAGTTTTGTATTGTGCAACATTAAAATCTTGGCCACTGGAAGGAAAAGTTGCTGGCGTCCCAACAGCAGATGATGTCATCAGTTAATAAGGAGGACTACTGGTTTCTGCACAACATCCTTGTTTGTCACTTTCCTGTCCCTCTCTGTTAGCAGTGGGGCCATGTTAGTTGAGTGAGTGAGGGAGAGAAAATGGGGAGGAAGAGAAATGCTGGAATACTAGTTACCAGTACCAGTGTGCAAAGGTGTATCTATGTGTGGCTGCTGTGATGTGTCAAACTATTAGCTTAGTTTTACATTTTTGACAGGGGTGCCTCAAGATTGTGCAGCATTTTAAATCACTCCAACAATTTTGGATGGTCTTCTAAACCAACGTGCCTGAAACACTACTCTTCCAAGACCGAAAACTCTGGGGGACATGGTACTCCTGAATATCTATCTATATCATATTGCCTACCACTTAACCAGAGTCTTAGATTGGTGCAGACAAAAAGTGACAGAAAGTGACCAAGCAGTGCGTGTCCCTCGAACAAGACTCCTCGCTCACCCCCTTTGGTGAACGATATTGCCCCATTCACTTCTCCCCTCTTGTCCATCTTGGGAACCTCAATACCCCCCCAGGATATCTACCACTCCCTCAGGGGAAAAAGTGTTGGGAGAAAGACTTTTAAAACAACCACTTCCTATGATCACTACCTAAGCTGATGAAGTTGTTGCACACCCCTAACCCAATTTGAGAGTAAATCCTGGGCTTCAGGGCCAGTACAGCATGCAATCTCTCTTTTATAAACTAATCCTCATGGCATCCTCACAAGCCCCACTTTGCTTTTTGAAGCAGAGGGAGAAGGATCTTCTCATTATCCTTTCACCTGAGGCCCAGGCTAAAGTATCAAATCTGTCCTATGAATCTTCCATGAGTAACACATATCAGGAGTCTGGCTATAAGATCATAACCCGCTAGTACCATACCCCACAATACTGCCATACTATCTACTCTATCCTACCAGCAACATGATGCAGATAAAAGTCAGGTGACACATTACATGCTTTGTTTGTCCTGTATAGCCTTACAAACCTTGAAATCCATGAGATAGTCCAAAAATGTTCAGACTGCAAAGTCCGAAAAGTGCCAGTGTTCTTCATCCTACACCATAATTCAATATCCACGACTGCTTATAAAAAACAATCTGTGATCAGAACTTTAGTGAACACAGCCCACTTGTGCATCCCAGAATTGTGGAAATTAACCTCCTCTAACAGTTCAGAAATGGATTCCATGGGTGAAGAACTTC